CGATACCATCCACACCATCTGGATGCTTGGCGGTCCACCACTGTACGTTTCAAAAGGAGTTTTCTTCCGCGTACAACCTCTCTGTGGAATAATTTACCACCGGTGATTTTTCCGGACCGATACGACCTGGGGACCTTCAAGAAAAGAGCTTACTCCTTTCTAAAGGGCCGGCAACGCACCTGCAATTCCCCTGGTGTTGCGGTTGATCATGGGCGGCGGTAGTCACTTAACATCAGGTGAGCCACATACTCGTTTGCCCCCTCTTCTATAAAAAAAAAAGTGATTATGAAATATAGGAGAGCTAGAATCTTTTATTTTCAAATAGTCGTTCTTGGAAGTTACCACTCTGTAACTTATTAACGTCGCGTCATCAAATAGCAGTTCTTGTACTGCTTCGTTCCAGTCGGAAGATTATAGAGAGGCGGTGTAATCACAGGCTGCGAGGCATTCCATCTTAGTTCACGTAGATAACAATGCATCTATAGCATTTTTAATTTGAAGTTTGTTTCAGGTACCGCGCGCTGCAGTGGTCACTTACCATCAAATGATAAAAGAGTATTGCGGAAATATTTTATTATTTTTATTTCTTTCTTTGAAGTCAATTTGAACGTTTTATTAAAAGTTTAATTTTTTATTCTTTTCTGTGAACGTAAAGAATATTCAAACTAAAGCTAAGACTACATTTCTCTTTTAAATATATTTTTTAATAATAAAAAAGCTAAATCTACTATTGGTAAAGTATAATATTTTTTATTTATAGCGCGCGTGCACCAGTCGCTGAAGTTGTTTCTTGGTATGGGTCATCGAAAAACCATCGATATTGCTAAGACTAGTCCGTTTAGAACACAGGTTTTATAAAGCGTGGTTATTAGTTCGTTTTTTGTTTTTTCCTATTATTCTTTTCCATATTTGTGGCGTACACTTTAACTAGAATAAACGTGTTTTGCAAAAGTCGAACGCGCAGCGGAAATGTATAGTGCTCTATTGGCACCAAATCAAAAAATAGGGATCTACACAACTAAAACCACTTCCACCAGCTTTATATTGCACTTATATAATAAAAAAGTACAACAATAGAAATGAGACGATTTCAGTTAATACTTCTGACGTAGTTACAAGAGTTTTTATTTCGATTATTGTTAAATTAAGTTATTTGAAAATAAATTTACTTGGACGCAAGATGTAGGTACGGATGTGAACAAGATATCTTTTAAAATACTAAACTTATTACTTTGTGCCGTTCATTAATATTTGAAAAAAAAAAACAATTCGGTAACATAATACGAATTACCGGTATCAAGCAGTCAAAAAAATCGTGTTAATTAAACACACACAATTATTTTGTAGCTTTAAACGAAAAACGTGTTTCGTTAATTAATAAAGGTAAATTAATTATTCAAAACATTACATTAGTGTTCGAGGTGTGCACTTTTGAAGTTTATTTTTTTATTTAATTGTTTATTGTTTGAGGGAGAGAGAGAGGGCTAAATTTATTTAAAAACGATAGAGCTGTTTTCTGTAAACTCGAAGTACTGATAAAATAAATGGTTTATATATAAATATATAAATGGTATATAATAAAGTTTCAGACAAAACATATTAGGTTTGCAATTTTACTCAAAAAATATCCTTATTTCTTTATCTTCTATCTATTATAAATTTTATTTACTATCTCTTGAAGATTTCATGTAAAATCGGTAGTTCTTTCCGCTAGATGTGCATGTACTTAAAATTTTAAAACAAAACTACTAGGATAGGATGATAACACTTTATAATTTAAAATATTTTTTCATATTGCACTTAGTTTTCGAGACAATAGCAAAAACTGACTTAAAAGTAGTTTTTCGATAGTTTTGTGTATGTATAAAGTTAAATAATAATTGTGTATGTATAAAGTTAAATAATAATTAGATTAGAAGTTAGAACAATAAATCTCGGAATTTACAATTATTAAAAAAAGTTTTTAACATTTACCTAAGTACAAAAATTTATCTAAATCGTTGGAGTCATTTCCAAGACCAGTACATATAATATATAATTTTTCTTTATTATTACAATTAAAAAAATGTGCAAAATAGATTATGAGGTTGAATATCGATAAAACAATTGTTTACTTTAAAAATACTGTAATTAACCAATTTTCGTAAAGTAAAAAAAGTAAAAAAAGGAAATGGATTTTTTTAATTGGGTACGGGTATCAAAAGAGCACACCGTGAGGACTAAGATCTCGAAGGGTCTCCGGTTTTCAAAACTCACCACACGAAACACAGCAACTTTGAGCGTATAAAGATGTACTTAAGTCGCAAACAAAACGCCAACTGTCCAAAACCGTGTGGGCTAGAACTTGGAATGGGCATAGCATGTCCTTCTTTACATTCTCAGGTAAGACAGGTCTTAGCTTTATCTCTTCACTCACTCGTTTCTTACGCATATCATCCTTAATACAGTCCATCCATCTTTTCTTAGGCCTCCCTGTTCTCGCTATATCCATCCACTTTCATAACTCACATTTTAGGCAAAGAACGCTGAAAAACGAACAATAAAATCTAAAACAAGCTGACCACGTTGTAGGATTCATGTTCACGCTTTCTGGAAGACTTTCTCTGTGGCAAAATTACCAATCATATGAAGCGAGCTAAGTTAATTACAACAAGGCATTCCAACTTAGCCCTGGGGACCGCGCGATGCGGCGTGTGGCGTTGTAACGATATCCACTACTCCAGGTCGTCCCGTGGGTGTCGTGAGAGGCGACAGAGGGAAAATGAAACAGGAGTTGGGCGCAGCATCTTCCTGATAACAACTCAAAATATAAAAGAAATGCAGCTGCCAACCCGCTGGACAAGTATGGTAACTAATGCAAAATCCCCTCATGAGACAATTTATGAGGGAGACCTATGTCCATTAGTGGGTTCCTATAGGCTGTAATGGAAAGTTAATAATTTATTTAATAGAGAACACTGGTATTGTTTAGAAGCAGACGTAGAAATATAACTTTATAGTAATAACAATTGTGAAGATTTTGATAACAGTCTCGTTTATCATCTATAGTATATACGTATATATCTATCATCTATATCTACTCACGAGACAGTAAACGGTCGATAGCACATCCGTATGAGCTTACGTGCATTTGGCACAGTCGACATTATTGAAGATATGAGGCTATAAATTCCTTAACTGGTGAACTTTACATTAGAGCTGATAAAATAGAAAAATAAAAAGTAAAGGCGTTCTCTCTTCTGAGAGAGTTTAAAAGCAACCAGTACACTGCGTTGCTTCATTGCGTGTTGATACTGTGTTCGTGGTTGAGCCACGCTACAGCTTTATTCGAGTTGAAGCACGAATAGGTTGGCTTGACCGGGAAAAGACCATTGACCAGCGTCAAATAGCAGCTTAATTCTGCTGTGTTTCGTTTGGTGAGAACCAGAGACTCTTATTACAGGAAATGAGACATTCTATCTTAGTCCTCAAGGGTGATAACGCATCTGCATTTTGACTCTAAATTGAAGATAAATCCAGATATCTATGGATCACAGCATCTACTTACCATCAAGTAGACCAAATATTTTTTTAAGAATATTAACAATGCTATAAACATTACTAATATTCTCCTTAACCACTCTTGGTAAGCTTAAATTGCTTGTGTTACGAGTGGTTCACGCCAGTAGTCGAATGGCGGATTCGAACCCACGACCTTTTTTGAGTTTGCGGTCCGCGAGTCCATTAGGCTACTGTCGCTTATCAAACTAAATTAATAATATATAATTAATGGCGTAGGGAAGTGACGACCCCATCGCCCGCTGACGTGACGGTTATGTGACAAAACCGCTACGTCCGCGCAGTCGGTCAGCACCTTGCCAAGAGGTGTGAGCGCCGTGCCTCGGCAAAAATTGATGGTGCAAGGGTCCGCTTGTGCATATGGCCTCACCATGAAACGGCGCCGGGTCTGGGCGTCTCCCGTTAAATGACGCCCTGTATGGATGATGGAACACAGAAGATTGCGCAAAGGGCCGCTGCCTGGAGGTCGTCAGGGCGCGTCTGGAGCTGGCGCTGGACGCGACAGCATGCGAACCGCCAGCCGAGCGCGAGGTGCTGTACGACCATCCAGCAGCCCCTCGCATCCATCATCCCCACCAGCTTGCTTGGTGTCGGCAGTGTCTTCGCAGACCCAGCAATCGGCACCCGCCACTGGTGGAGTACGCCGCATGCGATGGACCATCAATATGAATACAAACGCATTGCGGGCGTATTTTAGGGCGAAAGGGGGAGAAATTGGAGGTTTCGCGTCTCGGGCTAGGATGCATCGTTTTTTTACTGAGCTGGAGCCATCTATTACTGTCACCGAGCAAAACCTGGCAGACCGAGTTCGGTATATCTTACGCTCAAATATATTTGATGGTGCCGAACTCGAACGGCTACGACGTGAGGCTGTTCCCTCATCAAAAGAAAACGCTACGACTGGGGGTGCGGTGCCACAAGTTGCAGAACAACCCGCACGCGTGGAGCGGAGAATACCCCAGTGGCTGCTGATTCAAATGATGATGGAACATTCACCCAGGAACTAGAAATAGAGCAAATGAGGAGTACATTGGAATAGGCGATTATGGAAACGCGCAGTACGCCTCTCGAAAATCGACCGCGACTTCCCCGCATAGCCCTAAGCAAGCGGAATCGGGCTGTCGTGAGGCCTCTGAACCCAATGCTGGTGACCTATTTGGAAGCCAGCCGGGACCTTTGCGAGACGGACTCAATTCTCTTTGGCGCCGCACTGGCAGTCTGCCGTATTATAGGCGCCAAACTTTCCACGGCTGGACACACTACTGGACAAAGTAGTGCTATCCCAGACTGGAGAACAAGAATTGAAGAACGTATCGCAAAGGCTAGGGCCCTCATCGGCAGACTGATATGCTTCAGGTCAGGCAATACCAGGCCAAGGGATTGTGCGCACCGTCAGGATGGCGTTTGCTGGGACAAATGTTGGTTTGTCCCAGCCGGATATAATGCAAAAACTGACGGAGTGCATAGACGACCTGAAGCAGAGAATCGCTGCTTGGGGAAAGCGGATTCGGCGATATACTGAGAGGTCGACAGGGTTCAACCAGAATCGTCTCTTCCAGGGTGATCAGAAGAGACTCTATAAATCATTGGAGCGACCAATGGTAAGTGGAACGGGCCCAGTACCGAATCAGGCCGACACGCTTGCATTCTGGCGTAGCCTGTGGTCAGAGCCCGTAAAACACAACGAGGGCCCTTGGACGGAAGTTGTGGCGAGTCAGTGTGCGGGTATTACGCCCTTGGACCCCGTCACCATAACGCCGGATGACGCAGCTGAGGCTGTCCGTAGGGCCCCGAACTGGAAAAGTCCGGGACTCGACGGGTCTGCATCACTACTGGCTGAAGGGGTTCGTGGTGTGTCACACTGTGCTCGCCCGACAGTTTCAAGAGGTTCTCAACCAGAAGTCGCTCCCGAGCCTCTTCACTACTGGGATCACCCATTTGGTTCCTAAAGGCCAGGGTACCACAGACCCGAGCAAATACCGCCCCATCACGTGTCTACCGACCATATAAAAGACACTAACATCCATTTTGAGCACGAGAATCACTCGTCACCTGGACTCAAATCAGGTGATGTCGCGCGCTCAAAATGGATGTCGGGGCGGCGGTCGTGCAACCAAGGAAACACTCCTCATTGACGCGGTCATTGGCAAAGTGGTGAAACGCAACCGTCGGAACTTCTCCGCCGCCTGGATAGACAACAGAAAGGCATTCGTCTCGGTGCCCCATACATGGCTAAAGAGAGTCCTCGAATTGTACAAGATAGACTGTACAGTTAGAGACTTCCTCGAGCAGTGTATGGGGCAGTGGAGTACGATCTTTTGTCATCTGGGCGAGCGGATGATGGCTGCGGAGAACCACATAAGGATAGGAAGGGATATCTTCCAGGGCGATTGTCTGAGTCCAATATGGTTCTGCCTCTCTCTGAACCCTCTCAGTACTTTACTGGAGGGCTCCGGGAGAGGATTTCAGCTACGGAAAGGAGGGACAAAAGTGACCCACCTTTTCTATATGGATGACCTAAAGTTATTCGCCTCCAGTCGCTCCCATCTTATGGAATTGCTAAACATCACTTGTGAATTTAGCAATTCCATTGGAATGGAGCTGGGGACGGATAAGTGTGCGGTACTCCATGTTGAGAGGGGTAGGGTTGCTAACTCTGAGGGCATAGACTTATCTATGCCCGTCAACTTAAGGACCCTTTCCGAGGCTGAAACATACCGATACCTGGGTATGTCACAGAACATCGGTATCGATGAGGCTGGTATAAAACAGTCAGTTTGCGACGTGTTTTATGCACGCTTGACCAAAGTGCTTAACAGCCTTTTGTCCGGTGTGAATAAGACACAAGCATATAACGGCTGGGTCATGCCTGTCCTCATGTATACCGTTGGCATACTCAGGTGGACTCAGACTGAACTTAACGCCCTGGATAGAAAAGTCCGCACTACCATGACGTCCCACAGGATGCAACATCCGAGATCGTCGGTAATGAGGCTGTACTTGCCGCGAAAGCATGGTGGGCGTGGCTTCTTGAGCGCGCTCACCATGCATAATCGCGAAGTGTGCAGCCTCCGTAATTACTTCCTGGCGAGATCGGATGATCCATTCTATAAGGACGTCATTTCTTGTGATAAAGGACTTATCCCTCTATCCTTAGCCAACGAGCAATGGCAAGACCCGGCAGTGCAGACAATTTCGGACCGGGAGACCGTATGGAAGGAGAAGGAGCTCCACGGGAGGTTCTACAATTCTCTACATGGGCCTTTCGTAGACACAGTGACCTCCCTCCACTGGCTACGCTTTGGTGACCTCTTCGGGGAAACCGAGGGTTTTGTCTGTGCAATACAGGATCAGGTTATTAAGACCAACAACTATCGGAGATACATCCTAAAGGATGGCACCATCGACATCTGTCGAGCTTGTCGCCATCCCGGTGAGTCACTTAGGCATGTCATCTCCGGTTGCTCGGCGCTTTCTAACTCTGAGTACTTGCACAGGCACAACCTAGTAGCCAGAATTCTACACCAGGAGCTCGCTCTGAAATACGGTTTCGTGGATCGGAAATTGCCGTATTACAAGTATTTGCCGGAAGCCGAAAATGATCGCGCCAGGCTCTATTGGGACCGGGCCATCATCACAGACAGGACTATTCTTGCGAATAAGCCTGATATTGTGCTGATGGACCGGGCACAGTCAAGGATATTTTTGGTCGACATTACCATTACGTATGACGAGAACCTCGTGAAAGCCGAAACAGATAAGCAAACAAAATATCTGGACCTGGCTCACGAGGTGACCGACATGTGGGGTGGTCTGCCGACCGAAATTATTCCTGTAGTCGTCTCTGCAAACGGGCTAATCCCAGTCAGCCTCTCGGGTCATCTGTGGCGGCTGGGACTACGTGGCGGACCGCTCCAGGCTCAAATGCAGAAGGCGGTGCTCCTCGATACCGCCCGCATCGTCCGCCGGTTTCTTTCCCTTTCCCCCTAACCCTCGGCCGTTTGGTCTCCCCTGCCGAGGGCCTCCATCTGGTAGGGCTTTTATTTATATATGTATTTTTATATTTATTTTATGTTATTGTTATTTATGTATATTTATCTTTTCATTTCCATTTATAATTATATATTTATAGAACCCAACCAGATGAGAAAACTATATTGATACCCCCACATAATAATTGCTATTATTATTATTAATATAGTTTATAGTTTTATTCATAGATTATAATTATTTATATACTGCTCTCATTCCTACAGACTAAAATATATTAATTATTCTTTTTATTTAATATATTCTTAGTTGTTAAAGGGTCTAAGGGCAATATACAAATTTTCGAGAAGCAAAATATATTTACGTTTCAGTTCGCTTATTTTTAATTTATTTGCAATTTAAACTTCCTATATTTATATACATTATTTATATAATAAATAAAAAATAAGTAACTATAAATATAAAGTATGATATTTCCCATAAAAGCTTTAAAAAGCTTAAAAGGTGTAAAAGCCAAAATACTAACAGAATTAACATCATCAGAAACCAGACCCCAGACTTACGCAAGTTTTGTTACAATATTATTTTATTTAAAGCAATTAATGTAAACCCGTTTCTTTTTGTAAGCATATATTTATTTACAATATTTTTCGCAGTTAGAATCCAAGCACAGTGCTACATAAGACTAAGTAGTCTTAGTTATTTTAGGTCCGACAAAAATAAAGGTAGAAGTGTTAGGAGCATTATTTCCTCGAAGATTTATCAAATCTGCTGTTTGAAACACGTTAATAATTTAAAAATAAAGCAAATAGAAAAAAATTATTATAACATTATGTAGAACATAAAAGATACTATTAAATATTATGAGTTACGAAGTTATTCGATTCTTGTGTTGCGTAGATCCTTTTTACTGGAGACGAGGCATTCATGTTAGTTCTAAGGGATAAATAATGCATGTGCATTTTGATTCTTAATTGAGGCTAAATGTAGATGTATATGGGCCACAAAATCCACTTACCATTAGGTAGACTGAGTGCTAGTTTGTCGCGTTATCTCATAGAAAAATACTTCACATGGCTTAGAATATTTTGTTCCTCAGACGTGCAGGTTTCTTACGACAATTTCAGTCCAACTGATGGTAAGTGGTTGCTGTGGCCTATAAACATCTACATCTATCCTCGATTACGAATCAAAATGCAGATGCGTTGTCACCCGTGAGGACTAAGATGAAATGCCTCATTTCAGTAAACAGGGTCTCCGGTTCTCTACACTCGCCATACGAAACACCGCAGCATTATGCTACTATTTTACGCTAGTAGAAGTTAGAGTGATGCCGTCAAAACGATATCGCTGCAGCAACATTTCTACAACATAATGCTATTTGCATATCTATTACTTATTTCGTTAATATTAGTTCTTCGTAAGTCCGCGGCCCTTAGCGCTCTAATTCATTGCTTAACCACAGCACCAGGGAGCAGTTAAAGTGAACGTGAGACAACGAACATTTACTTAATATTATCTAAAAATGCCAACCTGCACGCCAAATGAAGCAAATTTGCTCCCTATTTTATTTTTGTATTAAGATCCTATGTTAAATTTTTTTTTAATTCTATTTCAAAGATGAGCAAATATGTAATTGGTACGTATCCTGTAGACACAAGTCATTAACGATATGAACGAGCGATAATTTGTTACCCGAATATTTTTAGCGACACAACTCCACGGGGAGTGATTACTAAGAGGAAGATTAAATTTATACTAAACTAAAAGGAAACGAATATTAATTATAAAATTTGTGAAGAGCTTTTACAGGAAAAGGCAATTGCACGGTTTCGTAATTTTATAGAACACAACGAGATTGTAAAATCATTTCGGAATGCACTCAATTGAATTATTAAAAGCGCAATCGAAACGGTATATGTACCATAAATATTTCGCCGCTATGCGCGATATTAATGCTTCAATTTACTGAAGTGCATCCGTGACTTGATTTATAGTAACATTAAGTACCCGTGTTCCTGTATGTCAAGCTTTAGCTCTCATACTACATGAATAACATTAAAATATTTAAGTATTTACGTATGTTAGCCGGTCGTTTGATAGAACCTGAAAAGTTATAACTGTGATAATAAATGCATTTTATTATTATTGTTATATGTATAATATTTTTGTAGACATAACTGTATATAAATAACTAGCTTCTTTAAAGCTTTTTGATATGTACGCATGAACAATCATATTTTAAAAAAACGAGTGTGTCGACAATAGTAATGAAATATGTGCAAAATGTTCAATGAAATTTTTCAGACTGAATCCTCCAAAGCTGGTCGTCAGAGTAAAGACATGTGGAAACAAACTACACTCATAGATATGTTTGAAAGAAGTTCAAGCTATGAAGGTATTTTTTATTGATATCAGATTATTGCATTGTTTATATTTTAGTTCTACGAGTAGGTTCTCATTTTATTATATTTTTCAATTTAGCAGGGGGTCAAAAAACTAGCCAAATAAATCAAGCTTTGATCTACATGATCTGCAAAGACAACATGCCTCTATCTTGTGTAGAAAAACCTGGATTGAAAAGATGTATGAGTGTCGTTTGTCCACGCTATAAGGTTCCATCTCGAACTACTGTAAGCAAAGTATACCTAATATTAAATTATTATCTTATATTTTTTTATTTTCAAATGTTATTTTTTATTCATTCCTTATTACAGATAACTGGCTTCATGGAACAGCGATATGCCACTACCAAAGCCATTTTAAAACAAAAATTAAGTGAGAAAAATAATATTGCTTTAACAAGTGACATATTAACTCTTACCAACTCGACACGAAGTTTCATCGTAGTGACAGCGCATTTCCCTAACACTGCATATAACTGCACTACTGAGCATGAGATGGTGACATTGACAGGCGTTAAGCACAAAAATGTAAGAAAAGTATAAAATAAATGCATCAAATTATAAAAAATAAAATAATGAAGTGGACTAATATTGGTCTTCTTTCCTGCAGGCACACACAGCTGATTATATAAAAGAATGCTTTGAAAATATTACCGAAGAGTTCACAATAGAAAAGGATTGCATTTTATCAATCACCACTGACGGTGGTGCTAACATGGTTGCTGCAGTGAAACAATATTTGGGAGATGGAAAAAGAATTCCTTGCATGGCGCATTTGCTGAATTTAATAGTGGATGGGGCAACAAGAGATAATGGATCAGTTCTACAAATTGCCAATCGTGTCAAAGCCATCGTAACATATTTTAAACAATTTGTAAAATCTGTAATGGACGATTTACGAGCAGAGCAAGAGGGAAAAAAGAAAGAGGGAGAAGTGTTAACACTTACACAATCAGTAAGCATAAGGTGGAATTCTTGTCTTGACATGTTGGAAAGATTTAATACATTATCAGCTATTGTGGCTAAGATTTTGGCAACCAGGCGGAATGCACCTGATATGATAACTTCTTCAGAGTTAAGTGTCATACGAGATCTTATAATGTAAGCAATATTAACATTGTAAGATGTGCAGGTAGTCGATGGATTCCGGTGGGTCAGGATCGTGCTTTGCGGCATTCCTTGGGGGAGGCCTATATTCAGCGGTGGATTTGTGAAAGGCTGTAATGATGCTGATGAATGAAAATTATATATATATATTAAATTTAATATTTCAATAAAGAATCCTCGTCTCGATACATCGACCAGCAATCCTCTCAATGTAGCGAGGATATTTTCGCTTAATCTTGATCTCGTCAGTCTGCGAGGTTAGTAGTGCAAGATATCAATCTTTAACTTATATTCTTGATCATATTATAACTTATCTCTATGTCCTTATGGTATATATGTCCTTATGTATAGAATTCCAGCGTGCGTGTGTTCATGATTGTTCTCCTTCTAAATGACTTAACCAATTTTGATAATTTTTATGGGGTAGTTATGGCATTACCTAGAGGATTCTTAGCTAACGATGGCGGATCCCTAGTATGTATATATATAATCAATCTATCACTAGGGCTAGGGCTGTTTGTGTGATAGGGAACAAGGGTTGTGTTAGGACGTTATGAAAGTTAGCTAACAGCTCCCCTACCTTTTCTGTAGTCATTTAGTTATTACAGGATACGACAATATTACATTTAAATGAAGACTTTCAACTTTAATAAACACCCAACATAATTGCCGTACAATTCAAAGCGGACAATTTTAAAGGAGAATCTTCGCTATGACTGTCTCTGTGCAGGACGCAATAACAGTGCCCGAGTGTACGAGTATACGCAGGCACAGGTGCACTCTCGATTCCCTCACTCTTATAGTTCGATGGGACGGTAATACGTCACGATCAGAGAAGAATCCGGCGCAGGAATAACCATCGGTTTAACGAGGCGCGGGGGTGAATCATCGCCAACATCCTGACTCCAGGCTGCTACTGAGCAATTCTTGACAGGAAAATCCAATAATCATTTTGGTCCGACCAGGGATTCAAATGCGGGAGCTCATGATTAGCAACCGCGTTTAAGACCACCAAATACAACTTAAGTTAGCTGGTAGACTCTCCTTAAATTACAATAAAAATATATTTTTTTATTTATTTATTTAATTTTTATTGAAGCCGTGTAGTGGCGGTTGAGAATATCCACTACCCCATATCTTCCCGTGGGTGTCGTAAGAGGCGACAGAGGGCCACAGAAAGGAGATGGGCAGCAGCATCTTCCTGATAACAACTGTGTTATAATAAAAAACTGCGGTTGCCAACCCGCTCGCCACGCGTGGCAACTATGGCAAATATCCCCCCATGAATAACGACGCAAAAAAACGGCCCCCAGTCCCCGGCGGCCCCGCTATTCCTGGCTACGGTGGCGACCATGGTAACGGCGGTTCAGGGGGTGCTAAGAATCTCCGGTGGAGGTTCGGTTGCCACCTACGACGACTCGACCTGGCAACATATAACGCACGCACTCTGAGGACTGACGAGAAGATACTGGAGCTGGAAGAAGAGGTAGACAAGTTACGCTGGCATATTATTGGATTATCCGAGGTCCGAAGAGAGGGGGAGGATACGGCAATCCTCGAGTCCGGCAACTTGTTCTACCACCGGGAGGGCGACCATCTGTCCCAAGGAGGTGTCGGATTTATCGTCCACATGTCTCTCGTCAACAACGTTGTAAAGATTGGGAGTGTGTCGACGAGGGTCGCGTACCTGATACTCAGAATCACCAAACGGTATTCGCTGAAGGTCATACAGGTTTACGCACCAACCTCGGCACATCCCGATGAGGTGGCGGAGGAAATGTATGAGGATATTTCCAGAGCCATGCATCCTCCAAAACCCACTACACGGTGTTGATGGGAGACTTCAACGCAAAACTAGGCACAAGAGAATGCAGTGAGCTGAAGGTGGGGAAATTTGGAGTAGGGCAACGGAACCGAAGGGGCCAGCAGCTGGCCGACTTTATGGAGAAAGAGGGACTCTTTATGATGAACTCTTTCTTCCAGAAGCGGCCCCACAGGAAGTGGACCTGGTCGAGCCCCGAAGGTTCGACGAAAAATGAGATTGACTTCATTATGACGACCAGACGCCAACTGTTCAGTGATGTCTCAGTGATCGTAAGGGTGAAAACTGGAGAGATCACCGAATGGTTAGGCACACTGAACCTAAATGTTAAGTTGGAGAGGTCTCGTCTAATGAAGTCAACTCTCCGTCCCCCCTCGTGCTCTAATCCAGAATCCCGAAACCTTTCAGCTCGAGTTACAAAACCGCTTTCAGTTCCTAGAGGATTGCAATGCAGTGGACGATATGAATGACAAGCTCGTGGAAACTGTCCATGCGGTCGGAGCTAAGTTCTGCAAGACCCGCCGCAGTAGAACACAAAAACTCTCCGATCACACTCTTAATCTCATGGCTGTTAGACGGGAGATGAGGCTGCAATCGTCAACAGATTTGACAGCATACAGGCAACTGAACAGACAGATCTCCAAATGCATGCGGCGAGACCTACGCAACTTTAATACTGCTCGTATTAAAGAAGCGATCGAGCGGAACCAGGGCTCCAAAGTCTTTGCCAGAGATCTGTCTGCCAGAAAGGGTCAACTGTCAAGTCTGAAGACTGAGTGTGGCAACATCGTTTCCGGGACACCTGAGATTCTGAGTGAGATGGAGAGGTTCTATGGGCAGCTGTACACATCATCGTTGGAGCCACACGCAGTGTGAGTAACGATCCAAGAGCAAGTCTTATCCGACACTATTCCGATGATATCCCGGACGTCAGTCTGAGCGAGATTAGAGTGGCTCTCCACCACCTTAAAAACGGCAAGGCCCCGGGCGAGGATGGAATTACAGCGGAGCTTCTGAAAGCGGGTGGAACACCGGTACTTGAAGTCCTTCAGAAGCTCTTCAATTCCGTCCTCCATGGTGGCACTACTCCGGAGGCGTGGAGCAGAAGTGCGGTGGTCTTGTTCTTTAAGAAAGGCGACAACGCTCTCTTGAAGAACTACAGACCGATTTCCCTTCTGAGCCGCGTCTACGTGCTGTTTTTGAGAGTCATTACGAATCGTGAGCAGACTCGACGACTTCCAGCCTCTCGAACAAGCCGGTTTCCGAAAAGGCTTCAGTACCATAGACCACATACATACCCTTCTACAAATTGTACAGAACTCCGAAGAGTACAATCTGCCACTTTGCCTGGCGTATGTGGACTATGAGAAAGCCTTTGATTCCGTCGAAATTTGGGCGGTGCTACAGTCTCTTCAGCGGTGCCTAGTTGACTGTCGGTATATTGAAGTGCTGAAGTGTTTGTACAGTAGGGCTACGATGGCTATCCGAGTACAGAACCAGAGTACGAAACCTACCCAACTGCAGAGAGGTGTAAGACAGGGTGACGTTATATCCCCGAAACTCTTCACTGCTGCGTTGGAAGACGTTTTCAAGCTACTGGACTGGAAAGGATACGGTATTAACATCAATGGCGAGTACATCACTCACCTTCGATTTGCCGACGATATAGTCCTTATGGCAGAATCGCTGGAGGACCTTAGCACTATGCTCAATGACCTCAATGGTGTCTCCCAACGGTTAGGTCTTAAGATGAACATAGACAAAAGAAAGATCATGTTTAATGTCCATGTCACACCTATGCCGGTAGTATGCCGGCAGGGAACGAACGGTAGTTGGCCATGTCCTTTGAAATTTAAGGCAAGCGCTTATTCCTTGAGCTATTACAGCAATAAAATTACAAAAAAAGTATAAAATATAAATATATTTTAAGGTATAGGGATCCGTAGTAGCTCAGCGGCTTAGCGCTTAGATAAAAAAAAGAACAAAATATTTCCAAGATATGTGAAGTCCGCCAACATGCATTGGGTGAGCGTGTTGGACACTTGCTTCTCCTAAAACACTCTCAGTAATATGAGGAGGCATTGACCTGCTGTTATTACTATATGCTTAGGCCTACTCTTATGGGTATGGACCCAGAAGTTTTACTGGAATTGAGGCATTCCATCTTAGTCCTCAGGGGTGACAACGCATCAGCATTTTGATTCTTAATCAAGGTTAAATATAGATGTCTATGTGTCACAGGATCCACTCAATTAAAATGACACAAAAATACTTAATTCTATAAAAAAACCAGGTCTGGCAGAAGAAGAACGAGAGTAGAATAAATGCTGTAGTAATGTGGTCACAGAGGAGTATGTTAGAGCTGAATCTGAATAACAGGGTGAGAAATTGTGTGATAAGATAAAAATGTGGTTTGCAAGATGATGTTGAGACCAGAATTAAGAAAGGGATGCTTCGGTTGTTTAGTAATGTAGAAATAATAAACGAGGTAAGAGTGACTAAGCAACATTTATGTTGCAGAAGTAAATCGCAGAGTCGGAAAGGGAAGCTCTAGACGAAAGTTTATCGACCAAATTGACGATATATTGAAGATGGGCCAGATAAAAATACCCTTAAGCGACGAGTAAAGAAGTATGTCAGGATCGTGCCAAATGGGAGCGTTTAGTCTCTGTCTACCCCTTTGGGTGACAGGCGTGAGTGTTTATGTATATTAAAAACAGAATGAACAGATGATTAATCTAGGTATATTGTAAATTAATCTTACAATCAGCTAAATTTATCTTCCTTAGTTAAATAGTGAGTTTAAACCTTTATTTGGTTCCAAACTTGTAGACAGTTGATCCTTTAAGCATATAAAATTACCTAAAGTTCGTTTATTGCCTTCGTAAAATATAAGGAAAAACGGTTCCTCTTGTATAGGCAGATAAGAGAAACCTCTCATAAACTTTGAATAAGAATTGACTTCAGGATACTTACTTACTTACTTACTTATCTTCACGCACAATCCCTAACGGGGTCGCCAGAGAGAACAGATCGCCAAGTGTCACGATCCTTACATACCTCTTTCGCTTCTTTCAGGTTCATTAACTTCTTCATACATGGACGTCTAGGTATCCGAGTACTCTTGACCCTCCCCTCTTCGAGCAATTTGCTCACATCATATCAATTTGCTCATA